TTGATGAAATATGAATTAAGGGATGGTATTAGAAGTAATTCATATTTATTAGTTGTACTATTTTCTTAGCCCCTAAGTTTGTTGGAGGGTATTTTAGTATTTTTATCTTATTCTAGTAACCCTAGTATTAGCTTATAAATAGGGTATCAATCATTGCAATTGTGTGTGTGTGTGTGTGTGTGTATGTGTAGCCGTCATTCTCTTAATAGAATATTTCTCTATTCATCATTTATTCTACCTTTGCACCAACAATTAGTATCTAGAGCTCCGGTTCTGATTCATTGGGAAACACGAGTGAACGTGAGGTCTTGTGTGTTTGATTTTGATTCTTAGATTCGTGTTGAATCTTGAACAAAATCTAATCAGAATTTTAATTCTGTGGGTTGGGAAACACTGTGTGAGAAATCTGAGTGTACTGTGCAAGGTAGAAGATGAACGGAAACGGCAACATGAACATCAAACTTCCAGTATTTGATGGTAAAAACTGGAATCGTTGGATGATCCAAATGCGTGTACTGTTTGGTGCTCAAGATGTTCTAGATCTTGTCACTGATGGTTATGTTCCAGTAGCAGCAAATGCAACAGATGAACAGAAAAACGCGTAGAAGGAAGTAAGGAAGAAGGATCAGAAAGCATTATTCTTCATTCATCAATGTGTGGATGTAAATGTGTTTGAGAAGATTGCAGATTCAACAACAGCAAAGGTTGCGTGGGACATACTGGGGAGATGTTATGGTGGTGACGCATCAGTGAAGAAGGTAAAGCTTCAGTCCTTGAGAAAGAAATATGAGAATCTCAACATGAAGAATAATGAGAAAGTCTCTGAATACATCTCCAGAATGATTCTGATCACTAATGAGATGAAGGCGTGTGGAGAAACTCTTTCTGAAGAAGCAATCATGGAGAAATTATTGAGATCCCTTACCTCTCAATTTGATTACATTGTGGTAGCAATATAACATTCCAAAGATTTGAGCACCATGAGAATTGAAGAGCTGCAGAGCAGTCTAGAAGCGTAGGAGTTACGTTTGACTGAGAGAACCTCTGAAAAGGAAGTAGAGCAGCAGGCTCTAAAAACAACTTCTGGTAGGAGATATCAGAAGCAGTCAGAAGCCAGGAGAAGATCTGATGGTGGTCGGAAGTCAGAAAGCTCAACCTCTGATAGACAAAAGAATGCTCAGAAGGGAAAAGAGAAGTATGACAAGAAGAAGATCCAATGTTACTGTTGTAAGAAGTTTGGTCACTTTGCTAGAGATTGTTGGTCAAACAAGGAGAGAAAATCAGAAGAAGCAAATATAGCCAGAAGTTCTGATGACGAATCTGTGCTATTGATGGCCTCTGAATCTGATAATATGGATCTAATAGACTGGTGGTATATGGACACTGGCTGTTCAAATCATCTTACTGGAAACAAGAAATGGATGGTTGACTTTGACTCTGAAAAGAGAACAAAGCTCAAATGTGCTAATGACAAGTATCTTAATGCAGAAGGTATGGGAAATGTCAGAGTGATTCTGAACAATAGGAAAACAGCATTGATTCAGAACGTGTGGTATGTACCTGGCATCAGAAGCAATCTGATGAGTGTGGGACAATTAATTGAGAAAGGTTTTTCAGTTACCATGAAGGACAATCTTCTGAAGCTGTATGACTGCAATCAGAAGTTGATTATGGAGTCAGAACAGGGAAGGAATAGAACATTCAAGGTGAATGTCAGAACTGCAGACTCAAAATGTCTTAGTGCAATAAGTGCTGAGAAGGAGAGTGAGTTGTGGCACAGAAGATTTGGTCATTTGAATTTCAGAAGCTTAAAACATCTGAATTCAAAGAAGTTGGTACATGAAATTCCTACAATTAAGAAGCCTGAAAAGTCATGCAAAGTTTGCATGGAAGGAAAAACAACCACAATTGCCATTTGCGTCAGAAACTGCTCCAAGAGCAAAACATGCCTTGGGAGTTGTACATTCTGATGTGTGTGGTCCATTTCCAGTAGCATCAATTGGAGGGAATAAATACTTTGTGTTGTTTGTTGATGAATTCACAAGAATGACATGGGTATCCCTTATTAAATTTAAACATGAGGTGTTTGATGAATTCAAGAAGTTCAGAATGAAGGCTGAGAATCAGAGTGGTTAGAAGTTGAAGATTCTTAGAACTGATGGTGAAGGTGAGTATAACTCCAAAGAGTTCCAAAAGTTATGTGAGGAGAATGGAATTGAGCATGAGGTTACTGCTCCTTATATCCCTCAACACAATGGTCTTGCTGAAAGAAGAAACCGCACTTTTCTTGATATGGTGAGAAGCATGCTAAAGGAGAAGAAGCTTCCTCAGAAGCTCTGGGGATAAGCTATTGCCACTGCAACGTATGTACTCAACAAATGTCCTACGAAGAAGTTGAAGGAAATAGTTCCAATACAGAAGTGGACTGGAGATAAGCAAAGTGTTAGTCATCTGAAGGTGTTTGGTTCTGTTTGCTATAAACATGTTCCAGAAGCTGGATGATAGAAGCAAAGTGATGATTCTGATAGGGTACCACAGTACAGGTGCATACAAGCTCTATTGTCCAGAAACCAATAAAATTGAATTCAGCAGAGATGTGATTGTGAAGGAATCAGAAATTTGGAATTGGGATAAGTCTCAATCTGATTCTGATGTTAGAACTTCTGAAGAAAAGTCAGAATTAAGAATTTCTAAAGTTGGAGTAAACTATGACGTTGACTCTCACTCTGATAGTGATTCAGACTCTGGAGAAGACTCAGAAGATGAAGGTGACTCTAATGATCCAGACTCTGATGGTAATCCAGATTCTGGTGGCAATTCAGACTCTGAAGATGGCCAAGGCTCTGGAGGAAGTCAAGCCTCTGAAGCTAGAAATTCTGAAGTTCAAAACTCTGGAAATATGCCAGAACCTGAAGATGGTCAAAGCTCTGGAGGAAGTCAATCATATGAAGCTCAAGACTCTGAACAAGTAACAAGTTCATAGACCACAAAGAATCAGAAACATTCCCAGAAGATATGCAGAATTTGACATGCTGCAAGACACTGAAGTAGACTCTGAAGGAGAAGTTATTCAGTGTGCCATGATAGTAGACTCTGAACCCATAAGTACAGAAGAGGCTCTTAAGTAGAAGCTCTGGCCGAAGGCCATGAAAGAAGAACTTGATGTTATAGAGAGAAACAAGACTTGGAAGCTGAAAGAACTTCCAAAAGACAAGAAAGCCATCAGCGTCAGATGGGTTTTCAAGCAGAAGTTAAAGCCAGATGGTTCAATTGGAAAACATAAAGCAAGGTTGGTAGCCAGAGGATTTCTACAGAAACCTGGGCTAGATTATTCTGAAGTGTTTGCACCTGTAGCAAGACATGAAACAATCAGAATGGTGATTGCAATAGCTGCTAACAGGAATTGGCCTCTGATGCATTTAGATGTAAAATCTGCATTTCTGAACGGTCTATTAGAAGAAGAAGTTTACGTGTCACAACCTCCTGGATTTGTGAAAAAGAATCAGGAAGGGATGGTGTAGAGATTATACAAAGCTCTATATGGACTGAAACAAGCGCCCAGAGCTTGGAATCAGAAGATTGATTCATTTTTTAAGAAGCAAGGCTTTCAGAAAAGTGAGATGGAGTACGGTGTCTATGTTCAGCATACTTCTGAAGGCAATATGACTCTGGTATGTTTATATGTTGATGATATACTATTGACTAGAAGTTCTGAACAAGAGATAGCCAAGTTCAAGAAAGTTCTGATGAATGAATTTGAAATGACTGATCTAGGCAAAATGACATACTTTCTAGGGATGGAGTTCAGATATTCTGAGAAAGGTATCATTTTGCATCAGCTCAAGTATGAATTAGAACTTCTGAAGAGATTTGAACTGAAGAATTGTAAGATTGTTGTCACACCTTCTGATACAAATCAGAAACTGGATTCTGACTCTGATGGAAAGGATGTGGACGCTACAACCTTCAAACAGTTGGTTGGTTCTCTGAGGTATTTGTGCAATACCAGACCTGATCTTTGCTATTCTGTTGGGATGATTAGTAGGTTCATGAGTAAACCTAAGTGGTCCCATTACCAAGCTGCTGTCAGAATTCTGAGGTATATCAAGGGAACTCTGAAGTATGGAGTGTTGTTTCCTTCTGGAAGAAAGGATGAGTCAGAACTTCTGAGTTATTCAGATTCTGATAGGTGTGGAGACAGAGTTGACAGAAGAAGTACTTCTGGGTACTTGTTCAAATTTCTGGGAGATCCCATTTCTTGATGTTCCAAGAAGCAACCTGTTGTGGCGTTATCAACATGTGAAGCTGAATACATTTCAGGTGCTGTTACTGCATGCCAAGCTGTGTGGATTCTGAATCTGTTGCAGGGTCTGAAGATTAAAATAAACAAACCTCTGAAGCTGATGATTGACAACAAGTCTGCAATCAATCTTGCCAGAAACCCAGTGTTGCATGGGAGAAGCAAGCATATTGAGACCAAGTATCATTTTCTGAGACATCAAGTTCAGAGTGGAGTGTTAGAAGTTGTACACTGCAGCACTCAGAAACAGTTGGCAGATGTTCTGACGAAAGCTATCAAGACTGATCAATTTTTCAGACTAAGGGATGGAATTGGTGTTACAAGTTTTGATGAAATATGAATTAAGGGATGATATTAGAAGTAATTCATATTTATTAGTTGTACTATTTTCTTAGCCCCTAAGTTTGTTAGAGGATATTTTAGTATTTTTATCTTATTCTAGTAACCATAGTATTAGCTTATAAATAGGGTATCAATCATTGCAATTGTGTGTGTGTGTAGCCGTCATTCTCTTAATAGAATATTTCTCTATTCATCATTTATTCTACCTTTGCACCAACAGGTGTGAGTTGGAGTTCTTTAAAAAAAATTATGAATAAAAGTTGGTACGAGTAGGAATATTTTCTCTCCTTTTCTTCTGTTTTGCTATATCTTTTGAGGCATGTATGAATGAATACATACAAAAAAAAAAAAAAAAGTATTACCAATAGTCTTTACAAGAGCAACAACCATTCTTAAATCGATGAAAACGATGATTATCTCTCACAATAATTTCTCTTCCAACAATTCTGGAGATGAACTTAATGGCACTATGACAATCTCCACAAATCCTAAGATTTTTCGTGATCCTTATAGGCACTCCTTGAGGGAGAGCTATGAGACCAAAAGCAAGAGCAATTTTTTCACTGTGGTACCAAACTTCTGAAGCTTTTTCTTCATCTTCTAAATCAAAGAGTGATAGATTGGCATCAGGAACATACCCAGCCTCCTTCATTTCCCCTCTGAGCTTACCTAGCATAGCCTGAATTTCATAGTTCCTTTCATGAGAACTATCTTTTGCTTGGAAAACATGGGTTCTGTTCTTTACAGCAATCCAACTATAGCCAACATTCTTCTTAATACCAATGTCTTTCATTTCCTTCCTGACAACAGTGGCTTCTTCCCATCTGCATTTAACAATTACAACCATGGCCATAAGATCTATGATAATGTTTAAGTCGTATGAATGTGACTGCATTACTTTAGCTTGAACTCAATATGTTAGCAATTGTAGAAAAATGAAGGGTGGAAAAAATAATACCTGCCAGCAGATGCAAGCATATTAGAAAGAACTACATGGTTGCCAGAGTCAACATGATCGAGCTCGAATAATTTTTCAGCTGCGATTTTTCCCAATTTCGTTTTCCCGTGCATCCTACAAGCCCCGAGTAAAGCTCCCCAAATTGAAATAGTGGGCTGAATTGGCATATTTTGAATAAATTCATACGCATGGTCCACCAAACCAGATCTCCCTAGAAGGTCCACAACACAAGCATAATGCTCGGCACCTGGTTCAATCCCATAGTTCAATCTCATTGATTTAAATATCTTCATGCCTCTCTTTACTGCCCCAGCTCTACTACATGCTGATAGTACAGAAACAAGAGTCACATAACTTGGTGCAATACCACGGCCACCCAATGTCATCTCCTCAAATAGACGCAAAGCCATGTCAACGTCACCTTGATGTGCATATCCACCTATCATTGCGTTCCACGTGACTAGGTTCCTTTCAGGCATTTCACTGAAAACTTGCTCAGCATTCTCTAGACTTCCACATTTTCCATACAAGTCAACAAGTGCACTTCCAACAAATATATTCTCTTCGACACATGCCTTGACAGCAAGAGCATGAACTGACCTACCCAATTCAAGTCCTCCAAGTTCAGCACAAGCACTGAGCACACTCGATATCATGAAATCCGTCGGCTCAACTTCTTTCCTTGCCTGAAGGAAAACCATACAAGCCCTCTCTTCCTCATGGTTTTGCACAAGAGCAGCAAGCATAGAGCACCACGAAACAACATTCTTCCTCCTTCCAATTCTACTAAAAACCATTTCAGAAGATACAACATCCCCACATTTTCCATAAAAATCAATAAGCCCATTAGAAACAGAAACATCCTCTTTGTATCCACACCTAACTATAAACGAATGTAACTGCCGTCCGAGATTCAACCTCAACATGTCAACACACGCATTCAAAAACGCACAAAACGTAATCGAATTCGGCTCTCCATGCACACAAAGAAACTCCTTGAACGCCGCAATCGCATCCGTAGACCGCCCATCTTGAACCGCATTAGAAATATAAGCATTCCACGTAGCCAAATTTCTGTGAGGCATTTCATCGAACATGTTGCAAGCATCAACACGAAGACCAGTTTTACTATACATATCAAAAGCACTGCACCCAACAAACACATCATATATCTGTCCACCTTTAAAAGCAAGAGCGTGAACTTGTTTACCAGTCATGGGCATGTTCAGCGAAGCTGAAGCTTTGAAAACACAAGGATACGTGAAGTCGTTAGGATAAACAGAATCACGACGCATGTTGGTGAAATGGAGAATAGCGGCGAGGAAACGACGGTTATAAACGCAACCAGAGATGAGAGAGGTCCAAGTAACAACGGTGGGGAGGTGAGTGAGTGAGAGAACGTGTTGAGCTGAGTTGAGAAGGTCGAGTTTGGAGTACATGTTGACGAGGTGGTTGGAGAGGAAAGATGGGAGAGTGGTGTCATGTGTTCTGATGATATGTGCATGAACAGCACGACCAAGGATTGAACAACGAGTTGAAACAGCGGATTCTAGTAAACTTCCTAGCAGATTTTGAGGATGTAAGTTCATTGTGTTCTTTTGATAGTATTAAGGTACGATAGAATGGTGCATGCAAGTTAATTTAGATTGGTTTTCAGCTCCTAGATTCTCTCAGCAGCATACATTCACTTCAAAACGTGGATTTCCTAATGCATCTCCTATGTTTCTTTAACCTGCGAAAAAATTTATAATTTTTTTTAAATTTTTTGAGATGTATTTCAGACGTATTAAAAGATCGGTTAACGTTAAAATATTTTAGAGATGCATCTCCGAAACATTTAGAGATTAAATCGCGTCAAACAGTCTCCTTTCTCATTTTTCATTTTTCTCAAAATCATACTTCAAACTCTTTTAAATTTTTCTTTCCACCAACTCAAACCTCAATCATCAAAGCTTAAAGAAACTTCAATCATCATCTCTAACATTGAAAATAACATCTAAAACAACAATTTCCATTAGGTTTTTTGAATTTTCGATCAATTTTTGAGTTTATGTGTAAATGAGTAGAAATCAATTATTAGAGTTAGAAATGAGTAGAAATAGTTTTTAACATAATTTAGACATAGTGTATTAGATGTCTGTTGGCTGAAAATGATGATCAAAACAAGTTTTTTTGAGATTGAATGAGTTATATTGACACCATTGACACAACTTTTGAATTGCAGGAAATTCCGGAGATGTATCTCTGAAATTTTCTACAGTATTTTTTTTTACTTTCTTATTTGTGTGTTGTTTGCCTGCACTAATGGTCTGCCTTACTTTAACTTACATGCATAATAGCTGATAGACAAGATAAACTAAGACACGAGAGGGTTACTCAACATGCATCAGTGCGGAGGGAGAAGAGTCAGCAGGTTCCGGGGGCTCCTGGTCCCTCTGGTCAGGCAGAGTCATCTACTTCTGGGGCTCGTGACTTTCCTCATGCCACTAGATCTTCTTCTTCCTGTAGAAAATAAGATTAATCATTTGACGCATCACTCCTTATATCCTCCCGCAAGCGTCAGGTTTCATCAGTGTCACCTCCTACTGTAGATGCTGCTGATCAAGTCCCACCACCTATTATTGGTGCTACTAATCCAATTCCACCTTTGGAAGGAGAAACTACTATGGGTGTTGAGGTAGAGACATTTGGAAGAGGCCCAGTTGATTTGTCATTACTGCCTTCGTAACGACGGGTTTTCCTCAAAGTACATCAAACAACATAAAACAACGGAACTCAAAGCATAAATCAAGGTTTCTCCTCAAAAGGGAACATCAGTAAAATAACCCAATGATATAAAATCACCTCAAAGAACCCAGCCCGATGTTACATATCAGAGCAGGACCCTCTAAATTAACCATAAAGACTAACGACTCTAAAAATTCAAAATACTCCTCGACGGCATCCACGACTAAACTTGCTCCTCTGCACATTACCCACGTGGAGGTAACATTCAAACAGGAAGGTGAGTAAAACAATTCATAATAATCAATGTATACAATTAATGCATAAACGACATATTACTCATAATTATATTCAACACATTGATATCCTTCAAATATGCCTCAAAGGCCATAACTTATAATTCATACAAAAAGACTCATAGATGCAATGCGACACAACTCAATGCATGTGGTACCAATCATCACAGTGCGATGGACATTGGGCCATCAACCCTCCATAGATCCCCATCAATAGGATCGATTCTACTATAGAACCGGAGCACATCAAGATACTTCACATCCGCACAGTGGGATTGAAGCCAAAGTAATCGAGGTCCTGGACCGAAGTCCGAATGCACATGAATGCATGATGCACACTTCATAAATCATTCTCATAATAACATCATAGGTGCATCATCATTCATCATATTCATCACCATCAAACGTCATAATTCATCATATTAATCATCATACAGCATATCATCATAATTCATCATATTACTCATCATACAACATATCATCATAATTCATCATATTAATCATCATACAACATATCATCATAATTCATCATATTACTCATCATACAACATATCATCATAATTCATTATATTAATCATCATACAACATATCATCATAATTCATCATATTAATTAATCTCACACATCATGTCATCATATAATCACGTATAAATCACATATTAGCTCATAGTCATATTATCCCATATTAATTCATAATACTACTCCCATATCATCTCATATTAATTTATCAAATTATACTCACGGTAATCCTCACACTATCGCCTATCAATCACATAAACTTCATAGTTCTACTCATGTTAATTCGTCATATCATCACATAGTATTCACATATTAATCCCTAATATCATCTCACCTTACCTCATATTAATTCATTATAATTACACTCGCGGTAATTCTCATACTATCACTTATTACTCATGCAACCTCACTGTCATACTCATAGTAATTCATCACAGGAATCCCAGAATCAAACATCACGGCATCGCTGCACACGATCAATATTCGCGAACTCTGCTACGTTTGCTGGCTTGCTCGCTAGACGAGTCGGTAGCGAGTCTTCGCTGGCTTGCTCGCTAGGCGAACAGTGCGATGACAACAAAATCTGCTACGCACCAGGACTGATTTCTACCCAAAAACTCATACGATTCACATACCCAATTCCCCCAAAAGATCCCTAAGATCATACGACGATAACGGCAAAAACCCTATGGTTCATTAGGCCAACCCGACAACATTTGCACTGCCTAAAATACTATTTTCCTGCAATTACTCTGAGTGCATCATAGTTACTCACATTTGAATATTCCTATTCCTACAGGGAAAAACATATCACAATCCAAGGTTTTGGCCACGAAGGCCTAAAGTTTCCAAATTCATGTTACACATCAAACAATCCGATAAGGTTTCATAAATTCATGTCAATATTCAGGGATACATGCCATCAATCATAACCTCAAAGTCTATTCGTCAATTTCCCTAATTCTCCCAAGTTAACCCAACATACCCTAAATCATAAACCCCACCATAAACACACCGAAAGGCATACATAGAAAATCATGAAATGCGATACTCCCCATACCTTAACAGATTCAAAGCTTTCAAGATTAACTCCGACAATCTTTCGAAGCTTTTGCCTCCACTGATCCCTCCTAAGAGCTTTGGCCTCCATTCTTTTCACGGTTAACAAAATTAATCCTAAACCTTCAGAATTCTATTTTGTCAAACTTAGACTTGGGCCACACAATTGGGCTTTTCCCATAACACCCTTACTAACTCTTCATAATGCCCAATTTACCCTTATTTCACTTATATTCATTTTAATCAATAATAATACTAATATTCTCATATAGTATACTATTAATTAAATAGATAGTCCAAAAATGCACATTTTCTCAATAATCCACAAAACCACCGAAAACCACTCAAAATACGAATATCCTCAATTAAATAATTAATTAAAATATTCCGCTTAAATTTGGGGTGTTACAGGCTTGGTAGCCCTTAGATGTAGGTGTGGTTGACACTAAACTGGGTGAACAATTACTTGTGTTATTTGCTGCTTTCCATTTACAGCTTATTTTTAAGTTTAGCCGTCTGTGATATAGTGGATGTCATAATATCCGTGATAACATCCATTGTTGGGTAGCCAGAATTTCATAAAGGATTAATATTAGTGAATATGAACTCACAAAACTACCTCTAGACTGTATTTATTGAAAGATGAAAAAGCTAGGTCAATAGTTAAAACATATCTCTCAATAATGATCCAACACAAATATACAATAAAAACAAGGTTTTTCACCATATATTCATCAACTTGTTCACATACAACATATAAAGAGAAATACATAAAAACTGAGGATTATCTACATCTAATCTTGACACAAGGAGAGATTTAGCTACCCATAACCATGGTAGCTTGAGCAACAAGTAACAAACAAAGCTTTTGGAGCATCAAACTTGAAAGGATTAAAGATTGAAGCTTAAAAGCTTTAATTTCTAAGTAAAAATGAAGAAGATGACTTTTTATCTCTTCACAAAAGTATCTAGGTTACATAATATTATCAAAAAGTAAGTTATGTTCCGAAAAATATCACAAAGTGCTAAAATACACATGGTTTGCCCAGAAAAATTCGTCGGACGAGCTACAAAATTCGCCAGGCAAAACCCTTTAGTAAAACCACGTTACAACAACAGTGCAAGTGAGCTGGGAAAAATATTTGAATTCGCTAGGCGAAATAAAGCTTTGTCGGGCAAATTCCTTTCGCTCCTTAATCGCCTGGCGAATCTGCTAGCGAACCACTTCTAGTAACTACTGGAATTTTGAGTTTCCTTCGCCTGGTCTCTCACATGGGCTTTGCCGGGAGAAACTGTCATTTCGCCTCTCCTTCGCTAGGCGAAGGTAGTGATTTCTTTGACACGCGCATTTGTTCGATTCTTTGCTTTTTCTTCCGATTTTTTCTACACTCTTTTTACATAAAATGCTGAAAAACTAAATAATATATTAAAAATAGCAAATATATACATTGATTCTAGAGTCACTTGATAAATAAGCTTTTTCGCAATCAGAAGTATGGAAAAGAGCTTAAAATTGCCGCAAATTGATACGAAAACTATTCTATACTTGACACCTATCGCTTTTGCAAGTTATGATTTTGTCTTTGGTATATTGAAAAACAAAAAAAAAAATCATATCTCTTCTCCCCTCTTTTGACATCATAAAAAAGAAAAAGAGTAATACCAAAGAATCATAAAATAAGGGAAATGATACATTAGATATAAAAATACTTATCTTATCACAATGATTTGATGTCAATGTTGATATCAAAATGTCGATATATCTCAAATCATCTTTAATTCAATGAAAATTTAATTCTACCATATCATATGGTCTTGTATCTTAAAAGGTCAATCTTAATTTGACCATATTTGCACATGGTGTTCAAGTACCTACGAAATAATTAATAGTATTTTCTAGGTGCCCAATTTTCTTTGAGTCCTCTTGGATTAGTTTTTTTCTTTACCCATACATATCCACTATAAGGAACACCATAATTTCTTATATAGTAA